GGTTACCATGGAGACAAGCCCAGAAGGGCTGTGGGCGAGACATGTGAGGGACTGTGGGTGACTGTGTGTATATGTGTGTTTGTGAGCCTAACTATGAGCAAGTGCGTGCAAATCTTTGCCCCCCACCCCCCGCCAAGGTTTTCCAAGTCCTCTTCATGTTTGTTTCCTCATTTGCTTTTATGATTACAGTACATTTCAGTGGTCACAGTTAAATTTGCACCATGTCAACTACTAAGCAACTGTAAGACACTGGTAGAAAGGCTAGGGGAACATAATTATCATTAATATGCATGCTCATATATTGTATTGTTCAAAATAGCTCATAAAAAGCAAAAAGCATTTATGTGAAACCCCTCAAATTGCTGTTTTGTTAAGGCTCATATATTGGTTCCTGCTGTCCTTGCCATTCAAGCACACAGCTGTGGGTCGGCATCATATTGTGCCCAACAAACACCCCAACAAACACTGAAAAGTATTGTGGGGACAGAAATCTGTTTACGCTGCCAACCAACAAAAAGCAAGTCCCTGAATTTATTAAAATAAATTATTACATTTTAGAGCGATGCTTTGGCTTTGGTTTAGGATTAGGCAGTGGTTACATTTGAAATTAGGGTAAGTCTCCAGGAAATGAGTGTTAGTCAATGTGTGTGTGTGCATGTGTGTGTGTGTGTATGGCTGTACATTGTGAGGACAAGCTTGTGTTTTAGACACGGGCTTTATATAAAAATGGGCAACATGTCCCAACTTCTTGCCACTGTGTAAAAATGAAGGTAAAGTATGGTGAATATGGGAGCTACTATCTTGCTTTTGTGACACATTTTGCAACCAGATTCTACACAGTTGTGACCAAAGGTGGAGTTAAGATATCTGGCCACCAATCAAAGCTGTTATATCATCTGAAATACACCCCTTTATATATGATCAAATAAATTATTAAAACAAATGTATCTGGAAATTACCATAGTACACAAATCAATGTGATAATATCTACCTAAAATTATATTTAGGTATGAAATTTAATTGATTTGTTTTGTTAGTTGATGTTCCATTTGCTAATGTGGAGGGGGGTGGGGTTTATGACCTACACTGTAACCAAGGACATTTTGACCTGTCCTCATTTTTTGAGGTTTAGGTTGAGGTAAGGATTGGGTTAAGCATACTGTAGTTATGATGGGGTAAGGTAATGCATTAAGTTAAGATAAGATAAGATTTTTTATCTTTAATGTTTTGTCACACACCTAGCTGTACAAGCTTGTATATGTTTCTTAATATATGAATGCTTTATATTGCCTCAGCTCCGGCCCTCTGGCATTGATGTAGCATCATCATTATCACCTGACCTGGGCTGATGGGAAAGCGGTTCCTTGGCTAGACCCGATCGACATGCACGGTTTGATGTCACGCTTTGTACACGTGTATGTGTGTCAGCAAATGCATTTTTCCATTGAAGTTTCAGGAACTCCATGGCCCCGCTAACATTTTACTGGCTTTACTGGCAGGTGCCTTATGCAAACAAATGGCCTTGGCTGACAGGTTCAGTGAAGGGTGACGGCTGCATCTGACTGCATCAAGTCAGGGAGTGATGGGCATAGAGAAACTGTTTCATTTCACTTGATCTATGGCCCAATGTAGCACATATCATCCAAGTGTGGCCTCAGACATTGTGGTGATGATTAGCTTGTTTAATTGCTTTGTATTGTTAGTGTTTTATTTAGTATTAACTGTCTGTGTACAGTGGCATTGGCCCAGCAATACTGAAGGTCAGTTAGATAAGCTAGTCTGTGCCTGTATCTAGGCAACAATTTTGTATTTGTAAAACAAACAATCATGTTAACATAAGGGCAAATGAAATAAATTAATAAATACTGCTTTTCACATTGATAAATAATTATGTTTAGGCCCTTATATCTCATAAGAACAAGAAATGTGTTAAAGAAGTGGCATTATGGCTCTTTTGGACCATTTTAAACACATCTGTGATATGTTATTCACCCGAAGATGTTTAGACATCTCTAAACCCATCTTTACAAACAGTCCAGATTCCCAGCTGTCCTCCAGCCGGCTGTACTGAAAGTGATTATCATAAAACTTAAATTATTCATAAGCACATATTCTAATTGGCTGGAGGTGGTGACACATCTCCAGCACCAGCAAATCAGAATAGGACCTAATGAATAATGCAAGTTCTCCTATGGTTGACCTTAATGTCTGAAGCTGGAAATGCAAGACTATATAAGCAGATTTATGAACCAGAGACTAATCCTAAATGGGAGTGAGAGGAACCTGCTGTTCAAATGTAGTCTTTAACTGGATGTTTCAGAATGGTAGGATTGTGTTTGAGCTTCCCACCACTTACACCACCTCTTTAAATTTAAAACTCATTTGTCAGGCATACTTCCAAGTCTTTGTTTGCCATCAAACAAAATAAAGAAGCAGTGAACACCACATAATTCTACCAGTTGAGAAGTGTAAAAGTCTCTTTAAGAACTGCATGACTGTAGTGACTCCTTCTAAAGGGTGCACTACAAAATGTGAGGTTAAAGGTCCCAGTATTTTTGCCAAAGCTATTTTCATATGTTGTATTATTTAAAATAATGTTACATCAAAAATCAAAGGCCATCTTTCTAGTAGATATGGAATAAATATGGAATAGAGAGTAGTCAGTGCCTTTCCCCTGGCATTTTGGTAATACTTCAGGTCAGACAAGAAGGAAAACAGATGAGCCATAAAAGACATTTTTCTATCCCATTTCATGGCACAAAATGATGTGATCTTGTACTGTGTTTTATTGATGCAGACTTTGGTTTATAATTCCACCTCAAAATTTGTAAAAGTCAGTTCAAGACCACAGAAAGACAATATTGCTTTAAATTTAAGGTATTCTGACATTATGAGACAGGACTTATAAGGGTTTCATAAGCCAAAAAAAATCAGAGAATTGTTTAAACTATGCAAAGTGTTAAAAATACTTAATGAAAAGTCAAATAAAAACTCAATGTTGGATGCTGTTATTGCACTGATATGCAACTATTTTAACAACACAACAAACTCATACATATGTAATGTGTTGTCAGCCTTTTTTTCTTAGTGTTACACTGCAATTCATCAGACCAGATAATAGCTTGTTAATCCATGTCTTGTTTTGTAACAAAGTAGAATACATAACTCCATACCATATACCCACACGTAAACACAAACACAAAACTAATCACACATACACACACTTACTTTCTCAGACACGATTTGTTCCATATTCACCATGAACAACACGTGTGACAACAGCCTGCATGAACTCTGTGATTCTCAGCATGCAGAGGGAGTAGGTGTTTGTGTTTGGATGATTAGTTGAGGATGAATGCATGCCAACACATTAGGTCTCATGCAGCCAAAACACACACATCCACTTTTGCCAATGTCCCAAGAGGGGTTTAACAACTTCTCACCTACACCCACCAGCTGTAAAGTAACTGCCTGAATAACATCTATCTACTGCCTCTTATTACAAGATGAAGTGAAGTCCTTTGATGAAAATATGTGTAAATAAAAATAAACAACCTTGTGTGTGTTTTTTTTAACATATCTGACTGGTTGGCTAGTTTACAGTCATTGTACTTATATTCAGTATGAGCAGTGTCCATGACACCTGAGGAACATCATCTTTAGCAGCCAATAAACTTTTTATGGCAGTGGTTCCATGAATTGTTGGAACTGCACAATGGATTCTGTTAGCTGAGTGCAAAATTAGAACGAAAAGGGGCCTATAGCTGTGAAGAAAAAAAAAAGGCAGGATTTTTTTTATTTATTTTTTTTTTGCACCACTAGTCATTTACTGTAGATTAGTAGTACAACAGAACAATCCTCATTTACTATTGAAAAATAAACGTTTAAAATGGTTCTTTAAAAATATTTTATGGTCTTGAAAAATAAACCCATGTCTGTCATTTACAGAAATTATATGGCTTTTAAATACACAATTGATTTCAAGAAACTTTGATTTGTTACAAATTAAATTTTATATTAAGTAGCCTCGCTAATTGGCTCTCTCAGTTATGTAAAAATCTTACTCACCACGAAACTGATGCAGATAAATAAATAGAACTGCTCCAGGGATTGGTTGCTATTTATTTTGGTGGCACAACTAAAAAGTAAGCACACCAGTAATTTTGCTAATATGACTATGCAACCACATTGCCTTAGAGAGTTGAAGAAGTAAAATGTTGTGGATAAAGAGTTGAATAATAATTTTACTGTTCACCTTCTTCTTCTCCTCCAAACACTATGTCTGGCCAACTTGGGCATTTGGTAAAAACAAATTTGTATGTTTGACTGTTGGCTCAATTGGACTATTCTTTATAGATCTTGTTTTTTCTTTTTTATGTTTTCTCCCTCAGCGAAAACCAAAAATATGTGAAACATCTCTGAACTGAGAATTACAAGACAAAAAAATAATAATATTTTTACAGTTATGGTGGTCAAATACATAATCCTGCACTTGAAGTAACGTCACAAGCCTTTTACAGTCAGTCTCTGAAGTGTCACATGTGCTGTGCCTCAGTGGCGCTGGCTGTTCAGCACCATGGACAGCAATCCTCTGTGCTAAGCAATGTACATGACTGCAGAGGGATGGGAGCTGCTGTTGAGTTAATTTCAAACCCATTTCACAAAAATAAGCTCTGTAACACAGCATGTATAATGTATGTTGCCTGCTGAGGAAAAGGAATCGGCACAGACAGACCTGACAGCCCCAGGGAGTCAAATGAGTGAAGGAGCAAAGTTGATTATAAGGTTCTTAACGACTCTGCTAATTACCATTGATGCTAATTAGCTGCAGCTCTATGTTAACTGCATGGAGGGTAATCAGTGTCTGGAACGAGATAAAAGTTAGAGTCAAACTATCATCTCTCAACCCTTCATGGGGCACAGTAAGACGTTAGTGTGCTGTTCTCGCCCAGAAATGTTAACGTGTTTTTCATGCTGACTTCTGACAGGCCATAAAGAGGACAGTGAAAGTTTTAATTGTAATCCAGTCTTAGCAAAAAGAGGGAGCTACTTTGATACATACATACAAAAACAAAGTCAAGCTATTTTTGTAGTTTGAGATATAATAAATAAATTAACTTTGTGACAATATTTGACCTTCATAGAAAATGTTAATGTTGTTTCTATCCCAATGTGTAATCATACTGATCTATGCACCATTTCTCATAAAACACACACACACTCATCCATTTAGCTTGAATTATGTGATCTGAGACGGTAATTTTGTGCAGTAAATCCAGGTTTCTCCTGGTGCTGAAATTCCAGCTTAATCTTCTCCCAGGTTGTCAGCACAACAGCCACTGGGGCTGATTTATTGTGGTCAGCTTCCCTGAGAGCCAAAGGTATTCCTCAGGGTCTGGATGGCCATACATTTCAAGGACAATTATTTTTAATGAGACTGCCTCCTATCCATCTGCATGTGGGTCGAGGGATGCGTGACAAATCCGTCCTTCAGAGGGCCTCCTCTGCACTCTGATCCATGGATCTGCTTCATTTCCTCTGCCTGTAATTCTGTATGCAGATTGTTCCTCACTCCTCAATTTTTGCTTGATTTGGAAGTCATCTGCCATCTTAAACGCCAACAAAAAGCTCCTATTCTTGCTATGAGGAGCAAAAATCAAGGAGGCCTCCTGGAGGACACCAGAGACCATCCTTAGCTGAACCGACACGACCCTTTATCAGAAATCAGTAGGTGATTGGACATTTCAGATGAACTGGAAGAAAGTTCATCTCAGGTCTCTAAAACCATGTTCCCTAAGTTTTTATCTCTTCACATTTGTTCCTTTAATCTTAAAAGCTTGGGACTAAGACACAAAGAAAAGATACAAAGCAAGTGAGGTGACAGTGCTAACATCACCGCTGTGCCACCCCAAGAATACCATCTCAAATAATTAATATATAAAAAGTAAATATTAACTGGGGTTTACATTGAGCAGGTTCTCTTATGGAAATTCATCTGGAAGAAAGAAAAAAAATCACTTGTAAAACTTTGTTTCTTTTTTCCTGTAATTATTACCAAGCTACATGGTTCTTTGCAAGAAACTTTCAAGAAATTATTTGGAAATAGCAGACCTGTAAAATAAAGCATTACTGATAGAGGAAAGCATATGTAACTCTATTTGTGCACTCACTTTTGATTTTATCTCTAAGACTGAATATGGCTGAACAGTTTTTTTTATACCATGTCCAGTATTTAGTCTATTCACAAGCTTCTACCACAACATCAATGTTCCCAGATCTCATCAAATATTTTGTTGAGTTTCATGGCCAAAAGTGAATGGGAGTTAAATGTGGAAAAAAGAACTCTAAGTGTTGTTCCATAACACATTTCAAAGAGCATTTGAGGTTAATCCATGAAACCTTTTGTTTAAATCATACCAAAGAAGCACTGTGTAAGATTATGCCAATCTGTAGAGAAACAAATACAGCCATGCTGGTCACCCTCCATGTCTCTGAGCTGCAGAAAACAGCTTGGCTTCATTAATCTGATCTATTTTCTCCACCAGGCTTTGATCCTCTGCTGCTGCTGAGTGTATGTCTTCGGCCCAAGGGGAATGTCTTCTGCCGTGACTCCTAGCAGAGGTGCCGGTTGTGGGATTGTAGGAGCATGCTGTTTGTGCAGGCCTTTCATGTCCCCTAGGGGACTGGTGTCTACTGGGATGGCTGTTAAGATTCACCAGCTTGACCTTGTGGCTGCATGCAGTAATCACAGCATGTGGTTCTTGTGGTGTTTTGTAGCTTGTGTGCATGAGTGTCTGGGAGAGCAAGAGACAAAACAGCAGATATGATGTGACAAGTGCATCCAACTGTATGTGTGTCATATATGTGCATGTGTCTGTACTGACACAACTGAATGTCCTGAAGTCTTTTCCATGTTTTATACATTTTGTTCTAAAGCTAGCTCACTGTTTTGTTTGTTTGTTTCCTGCCTCCGTCTGTGTATCATGCTGTAATTAGATGCATTTTATGTGACACACTGACTTTTCTGTTAAACTCTGTGACCAGATAGTGACTCAGGTATAGAACTATTTTATCTTCTCTTTGGTCCTCTGATGAATTCCCTGTATGCCTGGTGCTCTGGCTTAATTCACTGTGGTAAGAGAACCTGTACTGCTGCTCTACACAGTATTCACTCAGAACTGTTCTGCACAAACACACCACAGCACACAGACACACTGCAGTAATGGGAGAATAGCAGAGCTGCTAAAAATTCAACTTTTCCAACATCCAAAGTACACAGCATACAACAGATGAAAACCTCAATCTAAATAACACCTCAGCGCTCGCAGCGGCCATGGCAGTGACAGTGTTTGCTTTCTGCTGTCCTTTCAACTGCAGACCCAGACTGAATATTGGAGTAAGTAACTTTGCTTACATAGAGTTTGAGTGTTTTTCCCTCCTGTCATGTAGTGTGACTAACATTGGCAGACATGCATAAGCAGAATGTTTGATGCCTGTAGGAAACAAGCTGATTGTGAAGGCTGTGCCTCACAAACTGCACATATGGCCTACCAGCTCCATGAGTGCTGTCCATTAGTTGAACCTGCACTGTGACCTCTCTGAAGGTGGGCGAGATAACTGTTCATGCTATGTCTGTAATCAACAATAAATATATAGAGTTTAAATATAGAAACAATGAAAGAATTACTCTCTAATCATTTTCATTACTCATTTATCATTAGTGAAGCCAATTATTTTGCTTTTGCTTGTCCCAAAGGATCTCCTGCTCTGCTGATAGCCAACACATTGTTTGCTTGGTAGTGGATGAAAAATCTGTGTTATCTGAGCATCTGTTCGGTACAGCAAGGATGTTGTGTCTCCCCAATGTCCCAAGACTACTTGTCTTCACAAAGCACAACTTACAGAGATGTGAGCAAAGCTACTACGTCACCCTTCAACTCCAGTGTAATGAATACCAAAGTTGGAACTATATACTGTATCCTATACAGTATATAAAAGCCACTTTCCACAAACAATCCATGGAGTACATCAACAACATCAACAACATTCTGCTTATGAAAAAAAGAAAAATGGAAGTCAGTTCTCTTTGGTGGTTTAAATATGTAATATGGGAGAAGAAGGGGAATTACTTCAGATGTGTCCTACTCCTTAAACCTTTGGAAAAAAAAAACCTCAGTAAACTAGCCAGTAAGTGCTATTGTCACTAAGAGCAGTGTCTATGTGTATATATGTATTGTGCTGCAGTATGTCTTAATCAGTTGGTGAGATGAAATGTGCATGATATTTTCTTAATTTCTTGAGTATCAAGAGTAGCACCGATAATATCAGAGCTTATCAATATTACAGCCATTAATAATTTTGCCCCGGGGCTCAATTAATGCTGGGTTTCAATACCCAAGCCTAACTGAGCATATAATTACATCACACATGCCCCATGAACACATACACTGTGCTGTCTGTGCCACAGCCCCAGCTCAGACGTGACCCACAGTTATGTGTGTCAATTATATAATCATGTTTTTGCATAATACTGGGCCTGTTTATAATTAATAGCAAAACAAAATTAATCTCTGTATGCATCCGCAGCCACTACAGGGAAATCCCTGTCAGTTACAGCTCTGTCCACCCCACTCTGCTTCTCTCCACATGCCTGCATCCTGACAGTCTTGCATGTTGACCCATACATTACACAGTACAGTTAACATAAGCATCACTCCATTGAACTTGTTGGCAGCAGTTACCTAATTGTGTAGTCTCTTGTTGGCACAAAGCAGAGCCACTTTAGCTCCTGCTGCTCTGTTAGTGTAAGAAACTATTAGTGCAGCACTGATACAGGTACAAACTGTAAACCATGCGCCTCTATACTGACAGGTTTAGAGCCCTTGAAGCTCTGTGGTGGTAAGATATGTAGATGTGCAACATCAAAATCTATTATTAAATGAGATAATTTGAAAACCCAAAATAATCAGTAATGTAAATCATGAATTATACAGATCTAATATGCTGCTATTTATTGATTAACTGGTTGTTAGTAGCACAACAGTCAGCACACCTGCTTGGTTAACAGATTTATAACCAAAATATACATGATTTTGACATGATAGCTGAGCATTTATAGCACTATAGCATCTGTTGCAGACAAGTCTAGCACTGAGGGAACAGCTATCAGGATCTGATGAGTGCTGTTTGATAAAATAATAAAAGAATGGACTTCTGAAAAGCAGCATAACAAATGTTACTTTTTCTGGGATTCTCTTGTGGCCTAGGAGTTGTGGTACTCACAATAAACTGTATCATCCCTGTCAGAAACCTTTTCTGTGAATGTCATTCTCATCCCTTTTTTCTTTTCTGGCCTTCTCTGTACGTCTATGTATTGTAGAAAAGTACTGCAGCAAATTTGTCCCATTAACCTTTTGAAAGGTTATAAGTCAAATATACTTGTAAATCAAGCATGAATGTAAACAAGAATACAGTATGTGGTCAAATGTGTTTAATAGGTTGCATTATATTTTTTTGCTATGCAAATTATGTCACAGGTTAGTTTTCCCTTATGGTAACTGGCTTTGTCAGATGGATGGTGGTTGCAGTCCTTATAAACTTCAGCAAACATCGTCGCAAATACAAGCCTTGCACAGGATTTTTTTTATAACCCTGTAGTAGTTTTATGAAAATGAACAGCTGATCTGTTTTTGATGACTGATCTCTAACTTTTGCTCGTAGTGTGAGTACACCCTTACTCTACTGCAGCAGTCGTCAACGTGGTGGTCTTTACTTCTTTCTCTCTGTCTTCTCCTCTAGAGGTGCCCTCCCAACAGGGAAGGGAGGAATGAGCTACTCACAGACAGACACACACACACACACACAGTGGAGGGCAGCAGAGAGGATTTTATATTTTACTTGAGTCCACCACGATGTTCATTAACTACAAGTGCAAATAATCTGCCACTAATGGAGACAATACAAGCAATTTATCAAACACCTGTTAAACACAAGCAACCAAGGGAGTTCAATAAATGAACAAATTTAAATCAAAAATGAGGTTTACACAGCAGACCGCTGTAATCAAAATGACATTGATTTATATGTTCAAACGACTACTTGGTCACTTCTGTACTACATTAGAAACTCTATAATAACCAAATTGAGACAAGGGTTTACACAAGAGAGCAGGGTAATTGTCTGTTTTCATAGATCATTTAGTCATTACCAGCAATCCCTGCTAGACAATCCCACAATTACATTTTAAATGTCACTGTAGCTGAATTCACAACAAACCTGCTGCCACTGCTCTGTTTTGGTTTATTGGATAATGTAGTATTCATACAAATATACAGTAAAGCTTGTCTGTGGCAACAGTTTGGCTCCTCTGAATGGAAATGTCTCTCACACTTCTTTTTTTTAAGTCTTGTTTAGGTGTGTCTCTTCATTTTTCAACTACATTCAAACCATAAAGGCAGATGTATGGAAAATGTAGATACTGGGTTTCATCAGACTGCACAGTGCACTTGCTGGGAATGTCAAGAGGAAGTGCAAACAGGTTGGTTTAAATATTGAAGAATAGTCAACCAAAAAAAAAAATAAAAATCAGCATTTGTGCTGATCACCAGCAGTTAGTTTGGTTAGAAGAATAAATTGCAATTTTAGACTTAACTTAAATCTTTAAGGAAACTCTTTCATTTACAGTATGCATGTATTTAAGGTGAAACAAGTTATATTTAAAGTGCACCTTTGCAATGGCAAACAATTCACATTTTTACATAGAGTGACTTCTTCCACACAACCAACACAATTCTTCAAGTTAAAAAGAACATGCACATTTATTTATTCATAATAAATAAATAAAAGATAAATGCATCCAGTATGTCACTTTCCAGACAAAGCTTTGACAGACATCCCTAGTGAAATGGCCTCTTGGTCCCTCTGTCAGTGTGTGCTATTGATAAGAGACTGCATGGCCTAGCTGTCAATCATCCAGTCAGTGAGGGGCGGACTGGTTGCACTACGACACAGTTTAGCTGTGAGATCATCAAATGAAAAAATATCACATCATTTCATCACATTCTTTCATTGGCCAAACTGCCTTTCAGGTATGCTGCTGCTCAGAAGTCACTCCAGAAACCAGTTACACAGAAGGTCACGTGCTGAACACAAATGGATCAAAACCGGGGACCACGTGAGGAAATTTGTTTTGTGGTTAAATGGAAACTAATCAAGTATCTGAAGTACTGGAAAATAACCTTTAACATTATCTTCAAAGGTGAATACTACTACTACTACACTGGAACAATCACTGAGGTCACCTGTGAATTACAAATAGAACATTAATGCAGCTAAAAAGAGCTATTTTTACTTTTCATGCACACACACACACACACACACACACATACACACACACATCTGTAAATAAGGCCTTAAATTGTCAAGATGTGTGTCTGTGCCCAGGGTTAATCAAGCGAGCTGGATGAACAGGTAGATATGTAAACTATTGCTCATCTGGAGGTCAGGGTGCACCGAAGTCATATCAAGAGCCATCACCAGCTGCTACACATAACCTAGCATTGAAATTCATGGAGACTCACTCAGTCATGAATATAACAATAAAAACACACTGTAGATAAAGATACACAACACACACTCATAAACAGGCACATCAGAGCAAACACCAACTTGCCTCCCAGCAGACCACTGACATGTACAATAAATGCATTAATAACTAATGTGAGGCAGACGCACAGGTGGAACAGAGCAGATATAACTTATTACAGCACAACACAACCACCCGCTGAGAATGGCTGCAAAAACAAAAAATATGAGCAGCACGCTGGCACAGCAAAGCAAAGACAGAAGGTGAAGATGGATATGAAGAAAGGACAGGGATAGGAGAGTGGGAAGAGGAGTTTAAAAACAAAACAAGAAGGACAGAGGAAATGATCATGAAATACAGAGAGCGAGAGTGGGAGTGTGTAAGAGAGGGGCCTGGAGCAGTTTGGCTGGGACTAAAGGGGCATGTTGCATTAGGCACTGTCATAAACTGTATGTAATTAAACTGTTAGGTTAACTACAATTTGACAGTAGCTTGCTGAAAAACTACATTCAATTTGTGTAATGATTCAAGTAGTTAAATTACTTGACCATTTTTTTTGTGAAAGGCTGTTTTAAATAAAATAACTTGAGTGGCTTTTTTGTTAGTATCACATGAATACTGTTAATTGGGTCATTTTTTTTACAAAGTAATATGAACTGCTTTTTCTAGTAACCAAACTAGATTTCTCCCTAAAATAACTTTTGCTGTAGTTCAACTTCTTTTGGTGTGAAGCATTTGGTAGCTTGCAAAACTAAGCGTTTTCAAAGTAGCTTCCCCAGCACTGGCATCAGGACTGTCAACAGAGCCAGGTTTTTTAAAGGTTGCCCTGCATTTCTCCCACTTGCATCCAAATGATAGCACAGGCTCAGACACACATACACCCACACACCCGCTATGGACAGCATCAAGTGAACAAGTGTGTGTGTGTGTATCTAAAAGAGAAAGACTTATTCTGCTCCACTGCACCTGTGGCAGGTTTCCAGTATTTAGAGGTATATAAATGGTCTGCCCGTCTAGTTTGGCCCGCAGTCTGACCACTCTGCTGTTTATGAGAGAAGTGAGGCAGAGATGAAGGAGGTGAGGAGTAAGTGAAGGGTAGAGGATGAATAGGGAAATGCACCACAGATGATTTGCAACATGACTAACTTGTATTAATCTCCTCTAATGCACCTCTCCATTGCAGGAAGGGAGAAGCAGAGAGAAGTGGAAAAAGATGGCTGAAGAGGAGAACATCAAGTCAGATTGGTCAGTACATGTTCATCCTCTGACACTAATTATGCAGTAAGGATTTTAACATCATAGTCTTTGAGTTACCAAATAATTTTATTATAGCATGTCTACAGAGAACCAATTAACACCCACCTTTTTCACTTATCAGCCTCATACACAAATTCACTTCTATTCTGATCAATACAGCTGTCAAACCAAGATACAGAACAGCTCAGTTTGCTTGCACAAGAACACAATACAAAGCATGTTTCTTATGCTTCAAGTCTGTTTTCATATACTGTACCAACAGTGACTGTGTATTAGGCTCTGAGCACTGCCAAAATGCAGGTGACCTACACTCCGTGCTATGCCTGTTAGCATCCTCTGCTGCCTCTGCTTTGCTAATGTTCTACTCACACTGCACCTCCTGTCTAGAAATGACTTAAAATATATTGAGTTTAAATGAGACCATGGCTTTAACAACAATGTTTGGAAATGTCTTTGCAGATTCATTAAGGTAAATTTTTGTAGATTACTGCTCTAATTTCTTTCCTCTTACGTCAGTTAATAACTAGAGATGCTGAAATGTGAGAATTACCCCGAGCAAGAGTGTGAAAACATGGGGTTTAATCACTGCAGCAAAAAGTACAGTGCTGACATCAGACTGCATGCTAGAGACTGAATTCAGTGTAACTACATACAATCTGAAATTATATTTAAAACCACAACAGATGTCATACAACAAACAAACCAACACAAAGTATTTTATAATCTTATTCCATAATTTAAATGTGATATGACCTTGAAAATGTATACAAACCATACATTGGCTCTAAATATTGAGGACAAGGAAATCATATGGGTCTTTTGATCATGATCATGCTGGATTCAAACTAACTACATTCCTGAAAGTTACAACAAGTAAATGGCTTATTTCACCTAATTGGTTGTACTTTATGTAAGCCTTCCTAAACATAAGCACCAGCATAAATCGCTAAAATACTTATGTACATTACTGGAGTGTTTCCTGTAGCCACGCCACTACTTCTGCTGAATCATTTATCATCTTTACTAACCTAAAGCAGAGACTTTATAAAGAATAAGGCTAAGAGCAGTTCAGCCTCAGATTGCACAAATAATTACATTCAAACAACTGGATTGCATCTCACACAGTCAGAGAACATTTACAGACTTCAAACTGCCAACATATCTACGTTACAAGGCCAGAAAATAAGGGAGCACCATGACAAAATTTAAAGCTCATCACTGTGACAGAGGACAATCACACTAGTTAGTTTTGTGTCTGTGACGTTGTCTCCCTCTGTGAATACAAGTTCTCCTTATCTCATTTATGTTCTGACTGTTTTGTTCCCTAAAGACCTGAGGTTGTAGTTAGCATCATTAGTAAATGATTTGTTTACTTCCTCAACCATAAGGGCAACTGTAAAACTGAGATAAAGATTTTGAGAAAAGACTCAAATGACTGAAGAATGGCAGGTTTTGTATTTTATGACAACATTAAATCTAGTGGTTGATGTGATTTCCCATCAGGTTGCATCATAGCAAAATTTAAGGCTCTTTCAAGATAAAAATAAAGCCTTTTTAAGACTTCATTTGGGCTTAAAAGTCTAAAAAAAAATCTAATTTAAGACATTTTAAAGTGTTTTCAGCATTGGCCGATGCCAATACACTGCTCAGATGCAGGACATTGAACAGCGTGTAAACATGCCTGTAAATAACAAATGCCTTGGACTGAGTTTAGATTAAATGATAGGGGCTTTTGGGTTCATTATGCAGCTACCATTAATGTTTGCCTTATTAGAACCTTCTAATAAATATAATCACTAATAACTACTTTAATACTTATAATTATATCTTACTGTAAATACACTGACCCCAGATAACAATTAATAACAATAATAATAGTTTATATACTGTTTGGTTTGAATTCACAAATAAGATTTTCCCAGATACTTAAAAATTACTAAAAAATTCAAACACTCAAACATGCCTTTAAAATAAAAATGACTCCTTTAAAATAAATAACAATAAGACAAGGTATCAATTAACTTTACAAATTAGCAAAGCAGACTTTGAAAATATTAATTAGCATCGATCGGTTTGGTCTCGGAAAAACAATTAAATATAGACAGTGGAGAGGAGTTACACCTACACTGGTATGTTCATTTATAATCTTGGGAAATATTTAACAGGGTATGAATGATTTTTCAGTTAAAAGACCAATTATCATCACAGAGTCTCCTCGTGTTACTCTGAACTGCAGTGATAGAAGCCTCTAAAAACATCAACCAAGTCAGAAATTTGGTCAGGAATCAAATATTTGTTAAAATACAGTGTTGATCATCATGTAGGATATAGACTCCCTCAGTTTGACAAAAACTCAGCTTTAAACCACAATGACCCATGGAAAGCCTGAAACAGCAAAGTAATTTGACTGGTCCATAAAAATATCTATTCCTTTTTATTATTCATCACATTAATATGAACTCTTTTGTCCCTGTCATGATCCTGTAGGAATGATCCCTCAGTTTTCCCAGTGATCTGATTGGTCAGTGGTGAGCTGATGACAGGTTTTGCTCAGATTCTGTGAACCCAACCTGCTCTGAACAGGTCAGCCCTGCAATATTGCCTGGCCTATACTTTTATTAGCTGATATGAAAATTCTCCAGTCTCCAGGTCTATCCAATAAATTATTCTACTATGGCTGTAGAAGATCACAGCCTCCATTTTGCTCCCTTTTCACCAGTTTCTGGTCTTGGATCTTCAATGTGTCATGAAACTCGGAGGAGCTAACTAACTGAAAAGCCTGCCAACAAGCCTGTAAGAGCAAAGCGCTGCACTGAAGATGAAATTATTAATTACTTACAAATATGTATATCCAAGATCTGTGAAGTTATATTTTGTAGATAACATTTCTGAGGAGTAAATCATCAACCATCTTTAGTCTGAATAAAGATGCATCTTTGGGGGGTGGGGTGGGGGGTGTACCTGCATCAAAGCTGTGATGGTGTTCCAAACAGCATTCCCATGGAGACTCCGTTCCCGGGTCAGATACAGCTTGCTGATTAAGACACTGATCCTAGTATTGATGCAACTGTAAAATAGAAGAAACGCCAACATATTGATCCATGTCTTAACCTAACACATGCAAAACTGTGTACACTTTACAGCATATACTATGCACACACATATTCCCAATGACAGATGCTTTCATGTGTTTAAAAAAGTGGACAACCTGACTACCTTGGTACCACGTTTACAGTCCATGGACTTACTGTATGTGGGAGCCTGACATCCATACCGTATATGTGAGGTAATATTTTTGCTCTTGAAGTTTGCACATAACTGTAATCATTTACACATGTGTTGTGAAATTCACTCAAAGTGTAGGTTGAGTGGTGGGCAGTACATGTGTGCAGAAAGCAATGATGGCAATGTTCAGGTTTTAATCATGGCTGTGAGATCTATGACTGACTGATTGGTCTTCTGCTCCGTTTTCCTTTCATTCTCTGATTCTGTAATTAGTTGATTGACCTCTGCTGTCAGGGCCTAATTAGACATGGTAATTAAAGATTAAATGGGTCACAAGGGAGGTGTGTGTGTGTAGGGAGGGTGTAAAGCGAAGGGTAGGGTTTAGTATGTGTCCATGAAGTGGCCTGATAATGGGATGCGAAGGTCAATACATTGCTTCTAGTTTTAGGGGACAGGGAATTGTCCACACTTCTTGGCAAGGAACTGTGTTATTTGCAAGATCAGTGTAAGATGGATGCAAGATGAATGTGTACAATGTTAATTAAAAAGTATTACTGTGCTAAACCTCTTCTGTTGACATCAATGAGCTGACTAATGCAATACAGTAAATAACTGCACTGTATTTCTGGAGTGGTAACACCCACTGTTTGAGAAGTGCTCAGCTGGCAAAATAAGTGAGGAAGGGATGATGTCCCTCTTAGGAAATGTTACTAAACTCTTTATGCTTGTCACCAGCACAATTAGGACAAGCAAACACAAAAAAGGACTGTGTATGTGATTGTTAAACACTGTAAAATTATTACCTGAAAGCAGCACTATACTCAGCTGCACTATTCAAATCAAATTAATTAAACTACATTTTACACCAGACATTGTGGGAAAACAGCTAACACAATATAGCAGCAAAGTGATTGAAGTAACAGCAATTACAAAACCACAATAGGATCCACAAAAAGAGCTATTCCATGCACATCGCACAAAATGAAAAGGTAATAAGAATAGAAACATCCAAATAAAGCACTTGACAATAGCACCACATATGACAGTACATAATTTAGCATGCACAATATGCTAAATTATGCATTTTCACCAAATAAAATAAGGTACAACTATCCCATATAGTGGTACCTAAAGGATGGGACTGAGATAAAAAACAATAGAGTGAAGGAAAGTCTGCCAGTGACACCAAGGCTGTCACACAGGGAACAGGTCATTTTTGCAGCTTATGGAGTACAAAAAGGGAGTGTTTTGACACCAGGTAGGGTACAGTGGCAGGTGACCTCAGAACCGTGTTCTGAGGGGGCGACCATCACTCACTGGTGACTTGTGGTGGGGCTAATATACTTTCTTTTCTTCTGTCAGCACTTTACTATGTGTGTGCTCTGTTGTCACTCAACACAAGGTGAGGAGAGATCACAAGAAATGGTCGATATATGAAGAACACATGGGTAAACAAAAGGGTAGAGAGAGGGAGGAGAGAAGAAAGGTGCTTGTAGACAATTAACTGTTAGAAAGGGATGGACTTAGGACGTACTCTTACACAGAACTAGGACAAGGGCATCATAGCAGGACTGTAGACAGAGAAAAAAAAATACATAGTGGGTGATTATAGGCTGGTGAATCGTTCCATCTCAGTGTTCACCACTACCACTTTACTATCACATATGATGCAGCCCAAAGCTGCAGGAAACACAAAGTCATGAAGTCAAAGCATTGAGTGTGAACCAAGAAATGCCAAGGAGCAGCTCTTGTTAAATATAAGGCATTACTTTTATTTCTGGAAACACCATCAAGCAAAACTAAGAGCTATGCCAGTGGCGCTGTAAGGCTGTACTGTTGTGTAGGTCTCAACCCAGGCCTTCACCATGTGAGTAGTGATGGTGCTCTGACATGGACCCATGCGCGGTAGCTCATGAAGCAATTGTATCAAACCACTGTACCAGGGCCTGTTTTTGGTCACGGGACTAGTAACGTTTGACGCACTTGGGTGACGTTCGAAACATCTGAGTGCTCCGGACATCATACAAATCACCTCAATGGTTAGGTTTGTCATTTCTTAAAAAAAAACTCATAAACAGTTACACAGGCACACCACTGCCCTGTTCTTCAAGCACACCCTCTTTACCCACATACCTATGAACCTCTTTACCAATGAACCCCAAAACATACTTTGCCAAAGCCCATAATATAATCTGTATTTGCACCAGTCCCATGTGAAAATCACATCAGTCTGAATTTGCACATTATTGGGAGTTGATAAATGATCATGGAGTGTAGTAATTAACGTTACTCAAATAGGTGAAACGACCATGAAGTATTGTGATTGGTAGTTTTGGTGCATCGTGAAAACCATAGTCTTGCAACAATGTAGTGTGGGTTTGATTTCCAACAGAGCTGAGTGTTATTTAGCTCATCAATTAAACATTTGAAATGAGATCTCATTTGCCATCTAGCCTACTGAACATCCACTATTCAACATCTTTTAAGCTATGGGCCATTTCGACTTGTAGAATAAAATATGATTCATGGCACAAAATGTCAGGCTAAGTATATAGCTATAGCCTACTACAATCAGACATGCCAAATAAGACACATGGTCTTCGACACAAGTTCATGTTTATTTTATATTTTATTGAAACCATGCAACCATGTAGTGTAGTGGAACAGGAATATGCATGGCTAATCAAATCCCAAACAATCCATGAACCAATAAATGACACGTCTTGATTGTGCTTAATTTTATTGACCACAAGGTGTCCTACTCAAGCACAGTCATTGAAGCCTCGAGTATTTTCTTTTTAAATACTGTGTCAAAGCTTCAACAAAGTCTCGATCAGCCATCACTAAACCTAAATCAGACCTGGGCCTAAACCACCACCAGCAGCAGTAGAATTAGCTAGGTAATGATTTGTTTTCTTTGTTCATGTGTGTAGATTTAAGTTGTAGGTTGAGGTTAAGCATTTGATTTGACATTGGACGTACACAACTGAAGCATGTACATTTGATTAATTTTATATTGCTAATGTGTGTAAAAATTCTTTTTGAGTTACCGCTTCCTGGTCCATGGATGGGGGTGGTTCCAACAACAAGATTGAACTGAGGCAGCAGCAGGCTTAAATACCTCCCACTAGGCCTGGACTGTACCAAGTGCCCAATACAAGAAAGGGGGGGAGTGTGGGAGAAATGTATTGTTTATTTGCTTGTAGTTTATGTCATAACTTTATTTGTCAAGTTATGTTTTTTTTTTTTACATTTAAAGAAAAATATTTAGTTGTCAGTAGACTGTTTGTTCAGTGTTTATTGTTAAATTATTGTGATAGTGTCTTTGTCCATTCCATGTTTGTGTTACTGGTTTGGCCAACCAGTATACTGTTTTGTGTGTCATTTGTTAGGTAAGCTGTTTTTGCTTTGTTTAAGGTATTGTGCAGTTCAGTTTGCTGTATTTTGAGTTTCCTTATCTTTTGTTGACCTCTTTTAGGGCCCAGTTTATTTGATATTGATGTTGTTTGTGTTTTTTCCTTATTTTTGGGTTAATAAAAAGCCCATCTTTTTTTAACTGTGGTTTATGTATAGTTTTGTTACCCAGTTTGACTGTTGTGTGCACAAAAAAGTAAATCAGGTTTTCAATTTAGTTCTCAATTAGACTTGAATAAGAAATTCAGGGAATGTGAAGGAAAAACACATCACCAAAAGCAATGAGGAAAAGAAAATAAACTTTTGTCTGATGAAGACAGAATGTGTTCTTGTGTTTGTGATAGTGTGGCAGAATATCTTTATGTGGCAACTCTGTCATTGTTGGCCTTTTTTAATTATTAATTGTATTTATTTATTTGTACATTTACTTATATATTTAATTTACTATTATTTTATTTTACATTTCTCCCTCTCCTTCCTTTTTTATTTATTACCAGACTCCATATAGAGCTGAACATACATGTAAAATTTCCATATATTCTTCTGTAAATGTCCTGTATCCATGTTCATTTTGTCTTGTTGCAATGCTGTTTTGTTGTTTTAAAAAAACTTCTAAATAAATAAATAGCTTGGCCTTCCTTTCACCAACCAGGTTTGAACTCGTGCTGTATTGCACAGAGCAGTCAGCCTGAACATATAGACTGAGCCTATTTGATTCCATTGTGAATTTCCACTGCGAGTTTAACTAACTGCCATGAAAAGTCCCATTGATCTTACTTTTGCTACAGTTTATCTGGTTCAGCTTGAGCAGAGGGGGCTGTGGCTCACGAGGTAGGGCAAGTCGTCTTCTGACCAGCAAGTTGGTGGTCCCGGTCTCCCCGCATGCCTAAGTGTCCCTGAGCACCCCACATGCTTAAGTGCCCCTGAGCAAGCCACTGACCCCCGAATTGCTCCCGGTGGCTTGACTAGCGCCGGTGCATGGCAGCCTGTCGTCATCTGTGTGTGAATGGGTGAATGGTGTATGATCTTCTGTAAAGCCCTTTGGCCAGTGCAACATGCTGTGAAAAATGCACTATATAAATACAGTCCATTTACCATTTACCACATGGACTGGTAAAATGAGTGTATTGTGAGCTGGACAGACATGCAAAATATGGACAGTCAAATTCCGTCTTAGAAAGGTGTTTCCCTAACCCTGATCTACACTGTTCCTTTGTACTATTTTAAGAGATATGCAGCCCCTTTGTTTGTGGGATCCAATTGCATGCAAATAGAGAGAGCTGTGTGAGCATGGGTTCACTGGGGAAGAAGAAAAACATTTTTTTTAACACACGCACCAGCACCCATACACAAAATACACTTACATGCACACAGCATGAGAGAGGCTTATAGTGGAGATGAGAATAGTAATGAGGCAAAGCTTTGTAATAGTCTAAATCTGGCTGCAGGTCTCTCGACGCAGGTAAGCATTCACATCGCACA